TCTCTTGTGGTAAAGGAGTTTGGGGGTACCCTTCTGGAAGAAGTCCAATTGCTTTCTTCCTGGGTTCAAGAAGAAAAGGGTAGTTGGTTTATTTGGAAGCGGCAGCTACCTCCCAAGTCCAGGGAATCTGTGACCGTGGGGAACTTTTTAAGCAGAAGCCTGTAGAGGCAAGGTTTTTAAGATCTCTTGAGGACCCCCACATTCTGCACTCAGGTGCCAGAGTGGGGAATAGCCCTGAAAATGGCATACATTCCACATGACTTCACACTCTCATTTTCCACACAGAGTATAGTGTATTAGAGATTTTCAGAATATTCTGGAAGAAAAACAGATGAACCTCAACTTCGCTAGGCCCTCACCTTATTCGTTGTTTTCCATGTCAGAGAGCAACATCCATAAAGATTCAGGCCACCTGTCACTGCTCAGAGAAACAAAATCTCATTTTACTGCCTGACATGTATTTACATTCCTGTTTATAGCTAAGAAATGACTCAACCAACATGTCAGAATGTGGCTTAGAAAAGTGTCCATCCATTCCAGCCCATTAGGGCATGTGTATGTGCTTGTGTCTTTTTGCCTGCCTGTCTGTCTGTCTGTTTCTGTTTCTCTCTCTCTCACACCCACACCCACACCCACAGGTATGGTAGATACTATGTGTCCCCCCTAGGGTGGTGAATCTGGATCAGCTTACCTCCCACGTGGTGGTTTTGTTTGCCACCTCCCTGACCTCGCCAGACTCCATTGGAGCTTCAGCTCCAAACAGATTCTGAGTCCTACCATCTGTGGACTTTATCCCCCTCCCTGTGCTTCCCCAGAGCTGAGCCACCTGGGATTGGTACATAAACAGGACCAGTTTTCGTAAGTAGGGAGGTATTGTGGGTAGCTTGACTTGGCCTTTCCAGGCAAGTCGGTCCTGAAGGAGCCGTGTTGGGATGGGCACAGGTCCTGGCCTGGCTGAGCTTGCTGTTCCAACTCCTGTGGTTCCTGGTCAATGGGGCTTGCGGAGCTGGTACTTGTGGTGAGGGCAGCATGTAGTGACCTTCCAGCCTCCCCTCACCTAGGGAAAGCAGGGTCATGCTGGATTTTTCCTGGAGAGCCAGGTAGGGTGATCAGCCACTAGCACTAAGCCATCCCTACAATATCAGGACAACTGGTTTCCCAACCATACATTGGTCAGGACATGGGACAAAGCTAAATATCTGGAGAGTCCTGATTTTTATTGAGATCTCTTATCACCCTAGTCCTCTGAGACCTCATTTGTCCTGCATAAGTTCTCAAAGTACTAATGGTTCCAAGCTTGCTTCAGCTAGTTCCTTAAGTGCCCTAGGGTGAATATCATCATCAGGGCCTGATGACATGAATACTTCTAAGGGTATGTCTACATAGCAACATTATTTCAAAATAACTAGCGTTATTTCGAAATAACTTAGTCCGCATCTACACAGCAGGCAATTATTTTGAAATAGTGTTGAAATACTATTAAGCTGGAGGACTTCATACTCTGACTCCTGTAACCCTCATTTTATGAGAAGTAAGGGAAGTCAGAGGAAGAGTGCTCTATTTCGAAATAAGTGCTGTGTAGACACGCCCACTTCCAAAATAAGCGACGCAATTAACATAGCTCAGTTTGCGTAGCTTCTTTCGTGTTAAGCCCTGCTGAGTAGATACACCCTAGCTTACCTAAACATACTTTAACCTGATCTGGCTTATGTTCTTTCCCCATAAGTGTTAATTTTAATTTGAGTTGGTCGTAATTAACCCTTTTAGTAAAGAGTGAAGCAAAATAGGTATTAAATACTTCAGCCTTCTTCCTGTCCTTTCTTATTATCTCTCCTTCCCCATTAAATGAAGGACTTAAGCTTCCCCTTTGTTTGTTCTCTTGCTCCTTTAATATGTATAGAATCTTTGTGTTGCTTTTTTATGTCTCTTATGAGATGTAACTAATTTTGTGCCTTTTCCTTTTGATTTTGCTCCTCCTTGCATTTTCGCCATATGTCCACTTTTTGTACCAATCCTTTTTTGATTTTCTGGTCATTAAAAAGCCTCGATGCAGCCATATTGGCTTCTTAGTAGTCTTCCTATTTTTCCTTCATATCAGGATAGTTTGCTGTTGTGCCTTAAATACTGTCTCTCTAAGAAATGAACAGTTCTCTTGAACTCATTTTTTCCCTTAAATGTTTTTATTCCTCATGGGACCCTGCTTTCCAGCTGTCTGAGTGTGTTAAAGTCTGATTTTTAGAAACCCATTGCCCTTATTCTGCTGCTCTGACTCCTTTCCTGCTTTAGAGCAGTGGCTCTCAGTCTTTTCAAACCACTGTACCCCTTTGTCTTACATACCCCCAAGTTTCACCTCACTTAAAATCTACTTTCTTACAAAATCAGACATCAAAACACAAGTGTCACAGCACACTAGTACTGAAAATTGCTTCCTTTCTCATTTTTACTATATTGTTATAAAATAAATTGATGGAATATAAATATTGTCCTTATGTTTTCAGCATTTGGGGTATATATAGCAATATATGAACAAGTCATTGTGTGAAATTTTAGTTTATACCAATGTCAGTTCTTTTTATGTAGCCTGCTGAAAAAACAGACAAATATCTAGATGAATTGATGTACCCCCTGGCCACCCGGGTGCAGGTACTCCTGATTGAAAACTACTGGTTTAGAGCAATGAAATCTATTGTGCCATTATTACTTTCACTCAAATAACTTCAGGGTCACAATAGATTCCTCTGTTTGTTAGAATAAAGTGTAACATGTCTGTCCACTGGACAACTTCCTCCAGTTTCTGAACCAAGAAATTATCCTCTGTATCTTCTAAAGAAACTTACTGGATGCTTTTATATTTTGCCATTTGCTTGTCCTATTGAAGTGTGAGCATTTAGAGTGCCCCATTACTACCAGGTTTTGTGTTTTGCATATTTCTGGTATTTGTTGGTAGTCTATATGAGACCCATACCATGACCTCGACCTTCTGTTTTTCCTTTTTTACAGCTACCCAGTCTCTTTCAGCTGTTCTGACTCTCAACTCCTTCTGTAATTCAGAACACATTCTTGATGTGTAAGATAATACCTCCTCCTTGTTTTCTCCACCTGTCCTTCCAGAACAAGCTCTCTCTCTCTGTATCTTTTCATATATCTGAAGAAAATGAAGTGATAATGATAGGATCACAGAAATGTAAAACGGGAAAGGACCTCAACAGGTCATCGACTCTAGTTCCCCATACTTGAGGCAGGACTAAACATTAGACCAGAGGTGGGGAACCTCATGCCTGGGAGCCAGATGCGGACCCTGGCTTGCTTGGATCTAGCCCCTGAGGCTCCAGGCTCCCCCCAGCTCCTGCGCCATCCCCTGCTGCCCCACCATGGGGCTGGAGCACAGAAAATCTAATAGGCTGGGGCTCCCAGGCTCTGGTGTGCAGGAAGAATGTGGGGAATGCCTTTCTCATTCTCAGTTGGGGGCCATGTCAGTGAGGATGGTTTTAAGGGTTTTTTTGGCTTCTCACTTGTGTGCGGCCCCCAACTGATTTTTCTATGGGTCAGAGGCCTCTGACCTAAAAAAGGTGTCCCCACCTCAGCACGAGACTAACAAGTTTGCCAATTAGTTCGTAAAAACTTCCAGGGATGGAGATATCACAACCTCTCAATCATGTTGCCATGATATGTATTCAGTGCTGCTTGATTGTGCAGTATCTTTCTCTGGAAAGATAATACTGTCATACAAAGATTATTTTAAGAGATCATATTAAGAATTGTATTCCTGTGCACTGATAATTGGTAATACAGGCAGTCCCCGACTTACGTGGATCTGACTTATGTCGGATCCGCACTTACGAACAGGGTTTTTCTCGCCCCGGAGCTTGCGGGCAGCGGGACCACCCAGAGTGCAGCGGTCCCGCCACCACGTCCTCCAGGGCGAGAAAAGCTGCTCCGGGTCTCCCTGGTGTGCTCGGGGGGACTCCCCAGCACAGCAGGGAGACCCGAGCAAAGCCCCACAGGCGGCGGGACCCCGCTGCCCGTGCGGCTTTGCTCCTTTGCCCCGGAGCAAAGCCGCACAG